ACTTTGGAGCCATATCCTCTGCTTTCTATTTTCATTACAACTTAACCCTCACTCCATGCCTTGTTTGTACCTTGACAACAAGGTGCAGGGCTGGATGAATACAGCAGGCCAAGCAGCATCATAGGAGCAGAGAGGCTGACGTTTCGGGCCTAGACCCTTCATCAGAAAAGGAGGAGGGGAAGGGGGTTTTGAAATAAATAGGGAGAGAGTGGGAGGCGGATAGATTGGCTGCAGTCAGATCTACTGAGTTTCCACTTCGTTCTCTGCTTTTATTTAATGTCATCGAAGAAATCTGATACCAGTCAGGTGACCAAGTAAGTCTGCCTCATTGGGTACAGGAGATGGAGATGCGGGTATGTAATCGCTTGCCACATGATTCACAAGTACCTATAATACAGCAAAAGAAAGGAACCCTGAAGTGAATCCTGAATCTCACCTTTAAGCTGCAGAGTGTTAGTTACGCAGGAAACGCCTATTGTGGCCTCTGCATTTAGGATTCACTGAACCTGGCAGCAACTGGTCCAAGAAATATTTGTTTCTCATTTCCTGAAGGTGCTGAGGTTTTTCCAATGATATTGGGTAGGTTGCCATCACTCACCCATCAATGGGTGTTCATGATCCTTATGAGGTGGCTGTCCATTCCTCTTGTTTGGGCTCCACTTGTCTATACCAGGTCTCGAGCAGGGCCTCCATCAGCAGTAATGCTGTCTTCTTCCTCTGGTAGCTCAGACTTGGCAGCAGAGAAGAGACACTCAGCTCTAACAGCCAGTGTACAAAACCTGCAACAACCCAAATGACAGGATTAGGACTGGACTGGATGCTGCATTATGGGAGATATGTGAACACACTGGAGAAAATGCAGAAACAATTTACTAGAATGGTTTCGGGTATGAGATCTTTCAGCTATGAGGATAGATTAAAGAAACTGGGACTGTTCTCATTTGAGAGAAGAAGGCTGAGTGGAGATCTGATTGAGATGTTCTAACTCCTTAATGGGCTGGAATCAGTATACAGAATAAGGCTCATAAAAGAGAAAAGAACTAGAAAGCACAGATTTAAAATGATGTATTAATGAAGCAAGGGTGATGTGAGAAAAAAATACTTTTACACAATGAATAGTTAGGGACTGGAATGCATTGCCTGGAAATAAATGTAGAAACTTAAAAACATAGAGGATAGGAGGCCATTCAGCCCTTCGAGTCTGCTCTGCCATTCATCATGATCGTGGCTGGTCATCCAACTCAATAGCCAGTTCGGGATACTGAGCCCATTTGCTCCAGGCTGGCCACATCCTTTTCCAACTCTTCTTTTCTTCTTTTTTTCTCTCTTCAACTTGCTGATGTCACAGGGAGGTTGTAGAGGTGGCAGTGCCTGGAGCGGGGACTCCTGGCTGCTGTAGGCCCAGAGGCTGAACTCTTGCTGACAGGGTGTTGGCTGTGGCAGTGGTGCCGGAACTGGAATTCCTGGCTTCATTGCCGATGTCGTTGCTGTATTCGGTCTATGAAGATGAACTCTATTTAAGTACTTTCTTTTTATTCTTTTTGTAACTTAGAATGGTGCCGGATTGTTGCAACAAAACACGTTTCACTGTATCTCCCTAGATATATGTGACAATAAATCATTCTTTCAGTCACTTTGTTTACAGCCAGTGATGGAGTATGGGGTGGAAGGGGATGGATAAATGTGTAATTATAATATTACATATTTCATAACAAAGTCTAATCTCTTCAAAATGAGCACAGAATCCTACAGACTATCCCCCAGAAGCCATATCTCTTGTGGATTGAACTGTCTGATGAAGGGTGTATTACATATTAATATTTTTGGATTTGGGTTCAAAATAGAGGCCGGTGGGGGTGAGTTAGTTATGAGAGTTTTAAGTGCAAAAAGTCAATACAATGAACCAAATACATCAGTACCAAGAAATCATGTGATTGCAGTCACCTGCCTAAGAGAACCGCTGTAGTGTTAATGAATAAAATGTGACACTGTTGGGTTTTTTATTATTCGTTAACTGGATGAGGGCATCACTGGCCAGGCAGCATTTATTGCCCATCTTTAATTGCCCAGAGGGCAGTTCAGAGTCAACCACATTGCTGTGGGTCTGGAGTCACATGTAGGCCAGACCAGGTAAGGATGGTAGTTTCCTTGCCTAAAGGACGTTAGTGAACTAGATGGGTTTTTCTGACAATCGACAATGGATTCATTGTCATCATTAGATTCTTAATTCCAGGTTTTTTTTATTGAATTCAAATTCCACCATCTGCCGTGGCTGGATTCGAATCTGGGTTCCCAGAACGTTATCTGGGTCTCTGGAATAACTGTCCAGCAATAATACCACTAAGGCCATCGCCTCCCCAATGTTAATGACAGGCAGAGTAAACACATTAAGGCAATTAGCTTAGTTTAACTTTAGAACAGAAAGTTCAACAGTTTAGTTCGGGAAAACACTAAATCAAATACAGTCGCACGTCACACACCTGCACAGTGAAACACAATCACACAGTGCACACCCAGACACTGAAACACCATCACACTACACCCACCCAGATCCTAAACACAGTCACACAGAGCGCACTGTGATACTGAAACACAGTCACACAGAGCATACTCAGACTCTGAAACACAGTCACACGGCACACACCCAGATCCTGAAACACAGTCACACTGAGCACACCAAGACACTGCAACACAGTCACATGGAGCACACCCAGACACTAAAACACAGTCTTGGAGTTATACAGCGCAGAAACAGTCCCTTTGGTCCAACTCATCCATGCTGACACAGTCTCACTTGCCTGAGTTCAGCCCATGCCCTCTAAGCCTTTCTTGTTCATGTACTTGTCCAAGTGTCTTTTAAATGTTGTAGCTGTACCTGCATCTACCACTTCCTATGGCAGTTCATTGCACATACATGTTAAAAACTAGCCCCTCAGGTCCTTTTTAAATCTTTCTATCCTGAACTTAACAATATGCTCCCTAGTTTTGAACTCCCCCACCCTAGGGAATAGACCTTTGTTATTCACCTTATCTATGCCCCTCATGATTTTATAAACCTCTGTAAGGTCACCCCACAACGTCCTATGCTCCAGCCCCTCTCCGTAACTCAAACGCTCCAGTGCTGGAAACATCCTGGTGAATCTTTTCTCAAGTGTCTCCAAATGTAATAATATCCTTCCTACAGCATGGTCTCCAAAAGCTGCCTCACCACTCTCCTGTACACAACCACAACGTAACGTCCCAACTCCTATATGCACTGGTTGACCAATGAAGGCAAGTATGTCAAATGCCTTCTTATCCATCCTGTCTGCCTGTGAGGCGACTTTCAATGAACAATGTACCTGAACCTGGAGGTATCACTCTTTGACAACACTGCCCAGGGCCCTACCATTAACTGTACAAGTCCTGCCCTTGTTCGCTTTACCAAAATGCCAGACTTTGCATTTATTCAAACTAAACTCTATCTGCCACTCCTCGGTCCATTAGCCCAATGGATCAAGATCCCCCTTTGCAATCTTAAATAACCTTCTTCACTGTCAACAATTTTGGTGTCATCCACATAGACAGTAAAGAAGATTTTCTAAGATTACGGAGGGATCTTGAAGAAATGGCTCAATGGGTTGAAAAATGACAAATGGAGTTCAATCTGGATAAATGCGAGGTATTGCATTTTGGTACAACAAACAAGGCTTATACAGTTACTGATAGGGCCTTGAGTAGTGTTGTAGAACAGAGGGACCTAGGAGTGCAGGTACATATTTCTTTGAAGTTTGCATCACATTTCGACAGCGTGGTTAAAAAGGTGTTTGGCATGCTTGCCTTCGTTGCTCTGTCTTTTGAGTATAGGGGTTGGGAAGTCATGTTAAAGTTGTACAGGACATTAGTGAGGCCTCTTCTAGAATATTGTGCCCAGTTTTGGTTACCCAGTTATAGGAAGGATATTATTAAGCTGGAAAGAATGGAAGGTTTGAGTAATGAAGAAAGGCTGAATAGGCTGGGACGTTTTTCACTGGAACATAGGAGATTGAGAGGCAACCTTATAGAAGTTTATAAAATAATGAGGGGTATAGATAGAGTTAATGGTACTTGCCCTTTCCCTGGAATAGGGGATTTCAAGACTAGGGATCATATTTTTTAAGGTGAGGGAAGAGACATTTAAAAAAGACATGAAGGGCACATTTTTTACACAGAGGGTGGTTCAGGTGTGGAATGAACTTCCTGAGGAAGTGGTGGATATGGGTACAATTACAACATTTAAAAGACATTTGGATAGATACATGAATAGGAAAGGTTTGGACGATATGGGTCAGGAGCAGGGAGATGGGATTAGTTTTTTTTGGGATTATGTTCGGCATGGACTGGTTAGACCAAAGGGTCTGTTTCTGTGCTATATGACTCTATGCCTCTTAAATTTTCATCTAAATTGTTTATGTAAATAACAAACAACAGTGAACCCAGCACCAATCCCTGTGGAACACTGCTGGTCACAGGCCTCCAGTTTGAAAAATAACCCTTCAACATCACCCTCTGTCTCCTACTGTCAAGCCAGTTTTGTATCCAATTGACAAGCTCTCCTTGAATCCCACGTGATCTACTTTTACTAATCAGTCTACCATGCGGAGCCTTGTCAATAGCTTTACTAAAGTCCATGTAGAAAACATCTACCACTGTGCCCTCCTCAATCTTTTTGGTCTCAGAAAACTCAATCAAGTTTGTGAGACACACACAAAGCCATGCTGACAATCCCTAATCAGTCCCTGCCTCTCCAAATGCTTGTAAATCTCTCAGAATCTCTTCCAACAACTTACCCACCACTAATGTCAGACTCGCCGGTCAGTGCACACGGAGCACACCCAGACACTGAAACACAGTCACATGGAGTGCACCCAGACACTGAAACATAGTCAAAGAGCACACGTTGACGCATGAAACAGTTAGATGTAGCTGTTACCAACCTGCCTATGAATATTTGAACTAATTAGCTTTACTCTTTCTTTCAGGGAGTAGTGGAAGGCTGCAGTGCTGGATTCACCAAGTTCTGTGCAGCCCTTCTGAAACAACAGTCTCCAGAATTACAGTCTATTCCTCGACAGATCTTGGATCATGTACGTTCGATCAAATGACATTGTGACACAAATGTACACAAGTTCATTGTTCTTGATTTATTGCCCTCTTACAGTTCAGCTTGATGCTACCTTGTGCAGTAGACAGGGCTGGGTGCAGCCTGCCCTAATGGAGTTGCACTTTCACTGATAGCTTAGAGCGGTGATTGAGCACAGGGAGTCTCAGCACCACCTTGGTGCAGTCAAATCATTCCCAATGTGAGCAACTGTCCCTGGGCCCCTAAACAATGGACATTATTTGGACCTCCCTGTCCTGGTGTGCATCCCAGGAATTTACAATAGTCCCACGTTCCAGGAACAAAAACAAAGTTGCTGGAAAAGCTCAGCAGGCCTGGCAGCATCTGTGAAGGAGAAAACAGAGTTAACGTTTCGGGTCTGGTGACCCTTCCTCAGAACTCATGGTCGCTGGGAAAATGTCAGTTTATATGCAGAAAATAGGGAGGTGGGCGGGGTAGGGAGTAAACGATAGGATAGAGCCCAAAGAGAGAGAAAGACAGTTGGACAGACAAAGGAGTTGCTAACAATCACGCTTGGAGGGTGAATAGTTGTTAATGGGGACTTTAGTGACTAACAACAGGGGGTGTATAATGGTAGGCTATGTGGTAACAAGGCCTGGTGTGTGGGGTGGGAGCTGGGACATGGGAGAGTTTAGGGCCTAAAATTATTGAACTTAATATTGAGACGGGAGGGCTGTAGGGTCCCCAAGCGGAAAATGAGGTGTTGTTCCTCCAGCTTGCATTGGGCTTCACTGGAACACTGCAGCAAGCCAGAGACAGAGATGTTGGCCAGAGAGCAGGGTGGTGCGTTAAAGTGGCAGGCAACAGGTAGTTCAGGGTCTTTTTTGCGAGCAGAACGTAGATGTTCTGCGAAGCAGTCGCCAAGTCTACGCTTCGTTTCCCCACCGTAGGGGAGACCACATTGTGAACAGCGAATGCAGAAGATTAGATTCTGGGAAGTGCAGGTGAAGTGTTGCTTCATCTGGAAGGTTTGTTTGGGCCCTTGGATACTGGGGAGGGAGGAGGTAAATGGGCAGGTGTTGCACCTTCGCCGGTTACAGGGGAAGTGTGGACCAGGGTGTCCCGGAGGGAACAGTCCCTGCGGAAGGCAGACAAGGAAGGGGAGGGGAATATGTGTCTGGTGGTGGCATCTTGCTGGAGGTGGCGAAAATGGAGCCGATGATCTTTTGGCTATGGATGCTGGTGGGATGGTAGGTGAGGATAATGGGAACCCTATCGCTGTTGTGGGAGGGAAGAGAAGGGGTGAGGGCGGAAGTGCGGGAGATGGGTCGGACCTAGTTGAGGGCCCTGTCAACAACGGAGCTGGGGACTCCTCGGTTGAGGAAGAAGGTGGACATTTCAGAGGCTCCCTTGTCGAAGTTGGCCTCATCTGAACATATGCAACGGAGACGGAGGAACTGAGAGAGTATGGGATGGAGTCTGTGCAGGAAGTGGGGTGTGAGGATGTATACTCCAGGTAGCTGTGGGAGTCAGTGGGTTTGTAATGGATATTAGTGGCAAGTCTATCCCCAGAAATGGAAACAGAAACGTCGAGAAAGGGAAGGGAGGAGTCAGAGATAGACCAGGTGAAAGTGAGGGCAGGGTGGAAATTGGAGGCGAAATTGATGAAGTTTTCCAACTCCAGACGAGAGAAGGAAGCAGCACTGATGATATCAGCGATGTATCGGAGAAAGAGTTGTGGGTGGGGGCCGGAATAGGACTGGAACAAGGAATGTTCCATGTACCCCACGAAGAGACAGGCATAACTAGGGCCCATGCGAGTGCCTATGGCAACCCCTCTTACCTGAAGAAAATGAGAGGAGTTGAAAGAGAAGTTGTTGAGGGTGAGGATAAGCTCGGCCAAGCGGAGGAGGGTGGTGGTGGGTGGGGATGGTTCAGGTCTTTGCTCCAGGAAGAAGCGGAGAGCCCTAAGACCCTCCTGGTGGGGAATTGACATGTAAAGGGATTGCACGTCCATGGTGAAGAGGAGGTGGCTGGAGCCGCTAAACTGGAAGTTTTGAAACCGGCGTAATGCGTCAGATGAATCATGGATGTATGTGGGTAGGGATTTGACCGGGGGAAGAAGACTGAGTCAAGGTAGGAAGAGATGAGTTCTGTGGGGCACGAGCAGGCTGAAACAATGGGTCTACCTGGACAGTCCTGTTTGTGGATTTTTGGCAGGATGTAGAAACGAGCTGTGCGGGGTTGGGGGACTATTAGCTTGGAAATGGAGGTGGGGAGATCACCAGATGAAATGAGATCAGTAACCGTAGTGGATACAGTGGCCTGATGTGCCATGGTGGGGTCATGGTCCAAGGGAAGGTAGGAAGAGGTATCTGAGAATTAACACTCAGTCTCTGCAAGGTAGAGGTCAGTATGCCAGACTACAACAGCACCACCTTTATTGACAGGCTTAATGACAAAGTCAGGGTTAGATCTGAGTGCACGGAGTGCAGTCAGTTCGGAGGGAGATGGGTTGAATTTGGTGAGAGGGGCAGAGAAATTGAGGCGACTAATGTCACGTCGACAGTTCTCAATGAAAAGATCGAGTGCAGGTAAAAGGCCGGAGGGAGGGGTCCAGGTGGAGGGAGAGTGTTGGAGTTGGGCAAAGGGGTCTGTGGGAAGGGGAGAGGACTCTTTCCCAAAGAAATGGGCCCGGAGGTGAAGACGGCGGAAGAAGAGTTTGGCGTCATGTCGTGCCCGAAATTCGTTAAGGTGGGGACGCAGAGGGACAAAGCTGGGGCCTTTGCTGAGTATGGAGTGTTCAGCATCAGAGATCGGAAGGTTAGGGGGGATGGCGAATACCCAACAGGAGGTGGGGGGGTTTAGGGGAGGGGATAGAGTCAGAGGGAAGGTGAGGAGAGGAAGGTTCCAGAGGTTTGTGGGTATTTTTGAGTTGTTGCATCTTGTGGGCCTTGATGCCTAAAAGGAAAAGATAAAGTTTCTTGTTAGCACGACGAATGAGCTGGAGGATGAAGTGGAACTGCGGACTGGTGCAACCCTGAGCCAGCGCGTTGTGATGCCGTTGGAGAGAAATGTTGAGAGTATGCATGTGGTGCCGCATGACACTGAGTGTGGATCTCAGGATGCGGTGAGAGCAGCTGTCTGTGGAACGTTGAACATCTCGGAGATATCTGTGATCCGGGGAGGATTCAAAACATGAGGGATGAAAATTCGGTTGGAATACACGTGGGGTGAGTCTGAGCTGGAGGCAGTCACTGAGGAATGTGATGCGGCTGTGGAAACGAATTTTAGCAAATACCTGGTCGAAAACCAGGAGTGACAGTGAAATTAAAGTCGGTGGGCAAGAAGAAAGATTGGAACGGAAATCCCGTCGGAGAGAGGAGCAGAACTTCATCAAGGTGGGCATGCCTGGAAGAGACGTGGCAGTGAGTTAAATACTAAACAAAAACCGAAAGAACTGCGGATGCTGTAAATCAGGAACAAAAACAAAGTTGCTGGAAAAGCTCAGCAGGTCTGGCAGCATCTATGAAGGAGAAAACAGAGTTAACGTTTTGGATCCGATGACCCTTCCTCGGAACGTTCCAGGGCTTGTTTTGAGCCTGGAGGCAAATAAATCAAGAGCTGCATACAATGTTTTGGTGGGAAATTTACCCTGTGAGCATTTTTTGTTATTAGTACCTGGGATGTGGATGTCTGGCTCAGACAGGGGATGAGAAGGTAGTGGTGTGCTGCCTTCTTGAAACACTGCAATCCTTGGTGCTGTAAGGGAGGGGATATGAGGATTTTGACTCAGCGACAGTGAACAAATGGCAGAATAGGCCTAAATCAAGATATGGTGATTGATTGGGAGAGGAACTTTCAGACGGTGGTCTTCCCCTATAACTGTTGCTCTTGTCCTTCTTGGTAAGAGTGGTAATAGGTTTGGAAGGTTCTTACGGGGAAGGCTTGCTAAGTTGTTGACAGTGTGGAGAAAGATTTTAGGTTACTGGAGAATTGATCAGATGGGCAGATCAGTTGACAGATGGATCACCTTGACGTGTGTGGGTTATGCACTTTGGAAGAGGTAACAAGACATTCAGTCAGGTAGATGGGTGACCGGCAGGAGAGGCGGGCAAGTAGTGCAGGAGTCTCCTGTGGCTATTCCCCTGTCTAACAGGTATCCTGTTTTGGATATTGTTGGGGAGGAATAGCCTCTCAGGGGCGTATAACAGCAGCAGCCAGGTCTGTGGCGGCATAACTGGCTCTGCTGTAGAACAGGTTTGGGCAAGATCCATGCAGGCAATTGTGGTAGGAGACTCGCTAATTCGAGGCACAGACAGGAGTTTCTGTGGCTGCATTCGAGACTCCTGGAAGGTGTGTTGCCTCCCTGGCGTCAGGGTCGAGGATGTCTCAGAGCGGTTGCACAAAATTCTTAAAGGGGAAGGTGAGCAGTCAGAGGTTGTTGTGCACATCTGTACCAACTATGTAGGTAGAAAGAGAGATGAAGTCCTGCAGAGTGAGTTCAGGGAGTTAGGAAAGAGGCTGAAAAGCAAGACCTTGAAGGTAATTTCTGGGTTGCTACCAGTGCCATGTGCTAGTGAGGCAAGGTCTAGAAAGGACAGATAAATGCATGGCTATGAAGCTGGTGCAGGGGGCAGGGTTTCAGGTTCTTGAATCATTGGGCCCTCTTCTGGAGCAGGGCTGACCTGTACAAGAGGGACAGGTTGCACCTAAACTGGAGAAGAACCACTATTCTCACAGGGAAGTTCAGTAGTGTTACTTGGGAGGGTTTAAGCTATGTGACAGGCGGCTGGGAACCAGAGCAGCAGGTGAGCAAATGGAGGGATTGAGGGGAAGGTAGATGTTAGGACCAGTAGATCAGAAAGAAAGGACAGGCAGGGACAGGTAAATGAACATATTGGTAATAATGGGCTGAAGTGTGTTTACTTCAGTGCAAGGAGTATTATAGGTAAGGCAGATGAGCTTAGAGCCTGGATCAGTATATGGGACTATGATGTTGTGGCCATTACAGAGACTTGGTTG